GCTTGCCGGCCATTGGACGGCCACTCATGGCAGCTCACGAAAGTGCACGCCCGCTGCCGGCCAGCATTGCCAGTGACTCACAGCAGCCCAGCTCCAGGTTGAGCTGTTGTTCACCATCTTAGCTGTAGAGGGCGCAGCATCACTGGTTCTCATGTGGGATCCGAACCAGGGCCCTACTGCTCAGAGCTCATGCTCCCAAGCCAACTCTTAACCAACGCGCCACTCAGCCGGCCCCAGACTACATATTCTTGATGGCTGTGTATACACATGTGCGGACATCCTCCTCCACCACCACCACCACCACACACACACACTTTTCTTCTCTTTCCTCATTAATTCATGCAAGTTTTGTTGGAAGTTTTTAGGTATCATTCTGTTATTCTAGACTGTGACCTAATTAGAGGAATCAACACAGCCCAGAGGTCTACACATTGCTAAGCTTTGTACTTTCTCAGTTTGGGGAGATGGTAACATCTCACAATTAATTGTATCTTGGGCAGAAAGAGAGTTGCTGTTGTGATATTATTAAAGTTCAAATATATATCGATGCTGAGTGGCTAAAGGGGGGGAAGGACTATACCAGTTACTAAGCTTTCCTCTCAGCTCCACAGTTTTGAATTGTTTTTGGGGGTACAGGCAAAAAGCTCCACAAACACCCCTGCTCTGCCAGCTGGCACGCACTGGATTTCTCCAACAGGTGCTCTTGAGGGCAGCGTTGGTGCTGGAGGGAGGGAAAGTGGCATGCTCCTGGTTCGACCTGTAGGACCCCAGCCTCATTGCTTCACCTCGGCAGCGCCCCCACAGCCGCAGCTGAATCCTGCTGCCATGTCCAAGGTCAGACCCAGCTTCGTTTCACCTTCAGATACCAGCACCAGGTGGGCAGCGTCCATCCTCAGAGACAGCTCCTCGAGTCGCTGCCTCCTTAATTTTTTGTTTTCTTTCTCCCTTTTCAAGTTACCCAGTCAAGAATTCTACCGCACTGTAAGAATCACTTGCAAGGTTTCTGACGCCTATTTGGACCATGCCCAATCCACACAGAAAGGAAATTTCTGTCTACTGGGACAGTCTCGAGACTGTATTGTTTGAAATCCTTTCTGAACAATAACTGAGGCTCTGCAAAAGCGTCTTGTCTCTTGGTGTGCCACACAGGCACGGTCACCAGTATGCCCCATGTGTCCATCAGTGGGCTAAGCCACCTAATCTAAACCAAACATTCCAGGCCTAGGCCTGGAGTGATTTACTTCAAGACCTCATTCTTTGAACTTCCAATATTCTGCACCTCAGTTAAGAAGCATTAACAACTATATCTTGATATTAAAATGTGAATTGAGTTTTGGCAATGATTAATTCTGATTAGAGAATATTGTTATAATGCTTTTATGCCCATGGTCCTGGCATTGTCTGGACTATCCCACGTTTTCTGTTCTGGAATGCATTTAAAATGAAGACCCATGCACCAAAGGGCAGAACTGCCAGCCACAAGCTCCCCCTCTTCCCTCATATGAAAGAGTCCACACGGGTTCTTGCTGATATTTCCATTTATTACTGCAGTAGATAATTGCTCTGAAAGTGCAACACTGCATCACTCCTGTCACAGCCTCGGCTCCTCCTCCGGAGAAGACTGGGAAATTCATTCTTAGCACATCATGGACCACAAGCCTCTCTGGGTGGAAACTGACTACCAGTGCCAATGTCACAGGGAAACACACACACGCGTGAACAGAAGGATACAATGAGAAGAGCACTGGAGAGGAGGAGGGGCCAGTTTCCAGTGGAAAACAGCAGAGGGGCCTTGGGAACAGCCCGCCTGTGCAAAGTGGAAAGCGACGCATCTTCCAGCAGCAACGTACATGTTTGTTAGGTTGGCCTTGGGGCGCCTTTTCCCCTTGTCTCCAGAACAGGTGACACCATAACCACAACTGTCACATCTCAGCAAAGCACAGGTTGATGGAGTCAGAAAGGAAAAGACCTCTCAAACTAGTCTGGAAAATGGGTGGTTTGGATGAACAGACCCCTCAGCCTCCCAGTGAAAGCTGCCGGGCAGAATACCTGGAGTGCTCTAGGCGTTAGATGCTGCGTAACCACGATACCTCTGCGTCTAACTGGCAGAGGGTCAGCAGAGTTTTGATGGGGGAAAAAAAACAACTTTCAAATACTGCAACGACAGAGAGGAAGGGGAAAGACGAGCAGCTCTAGAAAACACAAGAGACTAAAAAATCTGAATACATGAGACCAAAAAAAAAAAAAGTAAAAAACATGAATAGGGACAATACACCTAAGCACTGGGCGTGACAAAACCCTCACTCGTGAACATACTATGCACACGTGCACCCACACGCACACACATCAGGGAGATGCCCAAAGGAGGGCAGACCCAAACATCTGCTCTCTTTGGAATTTTCATGGCAATCAGAGTGTAGGCAAAAGTGAGGGCCTCCCTGCGGTCTAAACAGACCTCAGGGGGCCGCCTTTGCCCCCACAGGAGCCGATGCTGCACCTGTTTGCCCGAGCCCTTCACCGTGGTCTGGGCACTAGTTTGTTCTTCATATTCCTGGAGTTTAAATCGCTGCTAGATCTTATCCGATCTAACTTCACCTCTAATAGAAGCACCTCCCTTTTGGCCCTGTACTTCCGTTCTTTTAGGAAGAAGCATCCAGAGACAGTGGTGATTGGAGGGTGTTCAGGAGTTGGAAGGAGGAGAGTAATATAAATACAATAAGGAAACGCCTGCTACTCTCAAACAATTGCTCTGAGACCAACTGGCTAAGGCCCCCTGGCCTGCAAGGATAGGTTTTAGGAGAGACCTTAATTTAAGGTACTTCGATCTCTGCTCACAAGAGCCGAGTATGACAGTGTTCCCTGGAGGCTGCTGGAGGACTGGTGCTCAGTACTTCCATCCATCCTCGATGCTCTCCAGCCCCTCTGACGTCAGTCCTCCCGAGTCAGATCCGCAGCTTCTCTGAGGCACGCCTGGTCATTTTAAAAGCATGCCTACAGTGGCCTGCAGAGGTTTCTGTGGGCGTCCTGGGTCAGCACACACATGCTAACATATACACCAGGAGCTGAGGACTGAAAGCAGGCGTTTCCGACCACTGCAGACAGGTACAGCCATGCGAAGAAAGCCGTCTGTCACAGTCACCTTGTCTTCAGGCGTCCCAGCTTCAGGATCACAGAATTTACCACATGAAGGTGTTAGTACCTGCCAACATTACCGGCTTGTGCTTCCCTTCCTCAATGAGGGGCGTGCAAGAACCCACAGAAACAGGCTGGACGCACAGGCCCTGCTCATCAGGAAACATGGCTCCCGACACTGCCTCCGCTCCAGGTCCTACACTCGGAACCTCTGTTAGAATCTCGCTCCTAACCAAACCGATCCTGCTCCAGCTTCATTTACAGTCATACCTTCTAAGCCGCCTCAGTGAAACCCGTGTGGCCCACTGGACTGCAAGTCTAAGTGCAGCAGTGCCGAAGAAAGAAAGAGCCCCACAGGAGGGCATAAGGCAGGAGACCACACAAAACCAGTAACACATTTCCAGAAAGTGGTGGGCTTTGGGGAAGAGGGGAGTGAAATAAACAAAACATCCCAATAATTTAATGGCAGAGCTAGAAGAGAGCATTTACAGCTATTCCGGGACTCTCGAACAAAAAGCTTTTCCTGGATGCACAGACATTCATAACACTGATAATTCTCAGTTGACAGCTCTGGCTTGTACACGTGGTCATGACGCCCTTCGTACAGCAAACAGCACGACAGAAGGCCCAAGAGGCATCTGGACAGCGCACAGCAAAACGCAAGGCTGAACTCCCCCAACAGAAACCCATTAAAAAAAGGTGTGTCTATGACAAAGTCACGTTTGCTGTTTCTCCGCTTTATAAAGTCCGCGACGCTGGAGGGTGTCTAGTAGAATCCATCCTCCAGGAAAGAGTGCAAAAGGGAGCTCGCGGCTCAGGGATGTCCCTTCAGTGAGCAGATGGAAGGCCCAGCAGGAGACCTCCCATCCATCGGACAAACACACACACACAGAAAAGGATTATTGCCAGCTGGTGGACTTTCACAATGTGATTTTTGTATTTCGAAAGCTTGAATTGTCCCTGAAAGAAAAAAATGGAGAAAACAGAGCATTCAATACACAGATCGTCTATAGGCAACACACACATCCGGGGTGGGCCTGGGGCCCTCATGACACACCCCAGGACCATCCTTACTTGCTAATCTAAGGCCAACACAGCAACCCGCCTCCCAACTCCCTTCAAACACTTCAACTCAACTGTTCACAAAAACAAAAGATTAGAAATCACTCAAATGCACATCAGCAGGGACTGGTTAAATATTAATGTTATGGCCCATTCATACAATGGGACACTGTGTAGCTTAAAAAAAAACACACGGAAGCTCCCTATGAATACGGAGAGATCTCCAAGAGACATTGATAAGTTACGGTGCAGAACAGTGTGTGCACATAGCATGCTTCCCATTGTGTAAGTGGGGGTGGGTAAACAAAGGTCATAGTTTATATTCGCTTGTATACACAAAAGATCTCTAAGACTCCACAAGAAACCAACAACAGTGGTTACCTGGGGCAGGGGAAGGGGACACAGCGGAAACTGGGCAGAAGGAGTAAGCGCGGGAGGGAAACCTCTTTCTCTCTCACTTACACACACACACACACACACCTTTTTAAAAAATGGATCCATATTATTGTATTATTTATTAAAAAAAAATCAACCAACCAGCCAACCAAACCACCCTTGGTTCAAAACTTACAGCTGCTTACAAAGGAATATTTCAGTGGTCCAATCTTAGAAGCTTGGCTATAATTCTTGAAAGAGAAGCA